GAAATAGCTGTGCATTCACAGAAAAAAGCCGGGCATGAGCAGCGCAGTGCTCATGACGCGTTGGTGCATAGCACGGCACTTATTATCGAAATTACTTATTTTCTAACTCGCTGGAAAACCTCCTCAACGTACTTACAAGAAATATGTGATATACTATATCGATGGAAAATTTTCTTAGCTTTTTGATGGTGTGCTCAGATTTTCGGAAAAAACTAATTTCTCCGGAAAATTAAAAAAATAAACTTTTAACGTTAATCTATATATATAAAGCGAAGTTGGTGTCTGTTTGTCCTTTATGATCTCAAAAATTATTTGTCCGATCAGCTTGAAATTTTTACCATATATTTTCCGTCTAGTGACGTCGCATCGAATTGGTGGGTTTTTTTTACCTTTGTAAAAAATTTCTAATTTCTCTCAAGTTTGTTGTAGTACTTTCTCAACAGAATTAGATTGAATCCCAGCTGCTTTCCATCGACGACAAAGATGAATTTCTTCAGAAATTAATTTTATCTCTGCCTTTTTGATTTTGTACGTTGACAGCTTAATGTCCCATAGATTTATTGATCAAAGATATTGGGAAGCAGTTAAAAAACTGACGCCGTTAAAAACTGCATCCTAAAATGAAAAAATTGAATATTATTACGCTAACTGAACCTTGTCCTTTTTTATCTTACTTTTATTATGGTTAAATCAGTGATATCAATATTGTTTATTTTCAAATGGAATAAAAAAAATTACAACAAGAAAAGAGCATATTAAATACCATCAATATCTTAAAATTCTTCTTGTTTTGGCGGGAAATTTAAAAAAAAATTGTACATTTGTTTGATGCAACAATATTGCACCAAACAATTTTGTTATATGAGCCCGGTCGTGACAAAAAACAATATGGCGCTATACACTGTGTATATCTATAGGTATAATAATTATAGAATTACAAGCCATGTAAAGTGCCACCATCTAGTTTCTGTCACGATCGGGCTCAGTGGTCGGACATGAGTTTTTTGATTCCATATGGAAACGAATTTATCTCGATGCAGTTCACACGATGGATGCTCATTATCCAGTAAACTTAACGGTCGTTTCGATTTTTTTCAATAGTGAAAACTTACATCAAATTGAATTTTGTTGCGGGAAAGATGAAACCTTATCTATTTTATGTTTTTGGGGCGCTGAATTCAAATCTGATGTTACTTTTTACCTGAAACATAAGGACCAGGTTGAAAATCAAGAGTGAAAGAGTTTCTGGCTCATATCTCACGAACGAAGCAAGATACAGAAAAAATTATTACACCAATCGATTCCTCGTGAAATTTCACATCGAAATACACTTCAAAGTTTTCAAGTGTCAGTGCAAAATTGTTCACAATATCGAAAAATTAGTTAACAACGGTCGGCGGTAGTGGGGCCGTCGAGGATGAGTATCAGGCCCTACCGGTCGGCCCACTACGTTTCCCCTTCGTCGTCGGGTCTAACTTCCTTCTCGGAACGGGGACTCACTACCTCCGACCGTTGTAAACTAATTTTTCGATATTGTGAACAATTTTTCACCGACACTTGAAAACTTTGAAGTGTATTTCGATGTGAAATTTCACGAGGAATCGATTGGTGTAATTAATTTTTCTGTATCTTGCTTCGTTCGTGAGATATGAGCCAGAAACTCTTTCACTCTTGATTTTCAACCTGGTCCTGATGTTTCAGGTAAAAAGTAACATCAGACTTGAATTCAGCGCACCCAAAAACATAAAATAGACTAGGTTTCATCTCTCCCCAAAAAAATGCAATTTCATGTAAGTTTTCACTGGACTATTCTATTCTTCCAGGAGTCAATGAACACCGACCTTTTGAGATAGACTTTAATGTACATCCCAATTTCCTCCATCACTTCCTTAATAGCGCATTCATGGGATTTTTCGTCCTTATTAATTTTTCCTGTAGGGAAGTGCCAGATATGCGATTGGTAGCTTTGGACCATTAAAACTTTAGCAGAGAGAAGTATAGCAAAAAAAAAAAAGACATAACGCTAAGCGTGCAGCCTGTACAGTGCACAAAGTATTCAAGGTTTCATCTCTCTCTTTCTCTAACAAAATGCAATTTGATATAAGCTTTCAATGGATGTTTCCCATTAAATATAGTGATTAGTTGCCATGATTTTTTTCTTCAGCATCCTAAGAAAACTTTTCCTTTTTTTTCGTGTTTCAAAATGCACAAAACTATATCTGTATACACTAATGATTCCTTTCTCTTCGCCCCACTCGATCGGCTGACGCGCACAAACTTCTTTGACTTTTTGGATATGTCAAAAACGCTGCAATACAGCTGTATGCCCCTTCACTCCGCTATCTCTCAAATGCTTCATACCCATCGAGTGTAGTATATATATACACACATATGAGCAAAGACAAGTCTACAGAGTGTGTTCCCCGCGCATTTCCCCCTCACCTCGCCTACTCGCGAGCGATGGATTGCTTGCTCTAGCATTGAAGCACTCGCCACGGTTTAGCGGCAGCGCCGCATAGCTTTCCCTATTTACTGCGCAACGAGGAGGTCTAAACGCGCATGCTGCTGTAGACTGTTGAGTCGTAGCAGTATCTCCTACTCTTACTTTTACGACTGCTATTGGTAAACCCATAGTTGTAGGTGCAGCAGACGCGCTTCATCACTTGTTTACTAGTCGCACGGCAGTGCGCATCGGCACCAGTTCCTCTTTTTACTTGTTCATTTTTGTAAGTGTAAGTGTAACAGTTGCATTTCGTTGGATACGACCTGTTGGAGGCATCGTTCGAAGGTTACTCTACTGCCCTTTAAAGACTTTCTATTAACTTGTGAGGGACGTTTGTGTGCAGTTTGTTAGAATAAGCTCCCACGAACGCGTCGTGTTGAGAGAAGCCCGGGTTTTGAAGAAGACAGCTTTCAAAATTTTTACGGAGCATGAAAAAAGGCTTGATTTGTTGCAATGAGAAGCTTGTGGATTAAAAAGGATAGAAAACCTAAAAACCCCAGACGTTTTCACAGGACTTTAACTGACCATAGTATGTAAAATTGACAATTTTTTTTTTCTACTAATTTGGTGGTTTTTCTTCGACTTACCTAACACTTCTACTACCCCTTTGGATTTTCTGCATCTTGAACTAAATTGGAACGGGACTTATCCATGCACTTATCCATGGTGTTACTCTGATATATTTGACCAGTCGATGTTGTTTATTTGAGTCAAAGTTCCCCTGGGACACGGAAGTTGAATAAAAATAACTGAGAAACAATGCGTCTACTAAACTACTTCATCGGATTCGGAATCTTCATGGATGAATCGATATGATATGATGATCTTTGTGATCTAAGTGATCTAAGGGATCTGCGTCATTGATGAATCCTCAATATTAACACGGCTTTGGCCATCTCAGCCATCCATCCCAAGCCATCTGGCAATTACAGTAAAATTTCTAAATGCTCGAAATCCTAAATGCAGGTTTTAATTTCGAATTATCGAAGTTTTACTGTACAGCCTTAAATTGTTCACCACGCTTGAATATGCTACGTGAAAATGTTCACATAACTGTTCGCATAACTGTTAAAATAACCCGTGTTAAGTTACACGTGTAGGCACTGTAGATTTTTTTCGAAAGTGCATCGGACGTGAAGTGGCAGCTGCACCAACACCGCTTATGGCATCCATGCATCTTATGAATGATGGTCTTATGAATGATGATGAACTTGCGCAAGGGGTCCCATGTGCCAGCGAAGCATAAGCAGGATGCATCAGATGCATTGCTTTTCTAGGGCATGCTCATTGAAATTGCCATAGATCTTGTCAAGATTGGGTTCCTTCGCAGACTTTCATCTCCGCGACGAAACCGTTAGTAAAAGATACTAGTCCAGTGAAAACTTACATGAAATTGCATTTTGTTGGGGAGAGATGAAACCTAGTCTACGAGATGAAACCTAACCTAGCCTGATCAGCGTCAGGGTGAAAATCGAGGGTGAAAGAGTTTTTCGCTGATATCTCGCAAACGAAGCAAGAAACAGAAAAACTGTTTGCACCAATCGATTTCTCGTGAAATTTTACATCGAAATACACTTTTAACTTTTCAAGTTCAGGGCAAAATTGTTTACAATATCGAAAAATTAGTTTACAGCGGTCAGCGGTAGTGGGGACCGGCGGCGCCGCGCATATATCGTCGCTTCCCTTTCGGCGTCCGCCTCTACCACCGCCGACCGCTGTAAACTAATTTTTCAATATTGTGAACAATTTTGCACTGACACTTGAAAAGTTTAAAGTGTATTTCGATGTAAAATTTCACGAGGAATCGATTGGTACAATTAATTTTTCTGTATCTTGCTTCGTTCGCGAGATATCAGCGAAAAACCCTTTCACCCTCGATTTTCACCCTGACGCTGATGTTTTAGGTAAAAAATAATATCGGCAATGAATTCAGCACACCCAAAAACATAAAGTAGACTAGGTTTCATCTCTCCCCAACAAAATGCAATTTCATGTAAGTTTTCTCTGGACTAATACATTTATACAGATGCGAATTCAATTCGCGCGAATTCAATTAGAAAGTTGCCTCTCCTGCGAAGGATTAAAAAAAATAACATCTATGCGGACCTATGGGCTATAAACATGGAGCGAAAAAAAACAAGGAACCATGTGTGGGTTTCTCCAAACGATCGTTCGTTCGACTTATGAAATACTCGCTATATCTAGTCGAATAAAAATGCCGCTCGTGGAGACTTATAATAGCGCATTTCGAGTATTTTTGATCACACTCCCTCCCCTCTTCGATATGCCTCGAACCAGAACGTAAAAACAGTTTTTTTTGTTATCTCGACGAACTGTATATCGACGCTGCGTTATAAATTTTCCGCAGATTTTACGAGCTTTTCGCTTATCTCACAACGAGGTCCTCAATAAAACGATAGTTTTTTTTTCTGCTCAATACAAGGTCAACGAACTGTGTCACTCATATCATTGTTATTGTTTATGTTTTCTCATCCAGCTGGAGGATCTGTCGTACAGAGTCCTAGCGAAAATAACAAGAGAGGAAATTCTCCGACCGAGAACGGTAGCAGCAACAGTTCCGCAGCAGCAGCAGCAGGCGCCATTATCCAGAAAATACCGCGGACGATGGACAATCAGGCAGAGATGGACGTGGACCAAGGTGGCCGAGACGACAACCAGCAATTCTGCCTAAAGTGGAACAGCTTCGGCTCGAATCTTGCTGAGGCGTTCTCAGTTCTTTATCGAAGTGGCAGCATGACAGACTGCACGATCTTCTGCGCCGGTATGTGTTTATACTTTTTTATATTTCTTCGTTGCACCCACACAAGATTATTATTCGATGCACTTCATCATACTCGTCATATTTAGCATAATAATTCACCTATGCGTTTTACGCGATGAATACGCTCACTGTACGTTTAGGATATGCGCCACCTGCACCATGTGCTTTCTACCGCTGTGAATTCTTCTTGTCTCAGTCGCGATCCGTATGGGCTTATCATTGTCGATTTTAATGCGGTTGTGCAAGCGCGGTTATGTGCGGTTATATGTCTTCGTGATAATTTCATCGATTTATACGGATGAAAAGCCTACTTGACGCTACAGAGGTCCAAGCTTCACTGAGAAGACTTTCTATTCCTCCCCGGCACCCGTCATTCGCACACACTATATTTTGTAGCGGGAATTTCGATTGCGTCAAGAGAGAGCGTTCAAATGGCACATGCAGTAGCGGCAACAGCATAGCGGTGCATCGCCTGGTGCACACATGCACCACATCCCTACCTCGTTTTCTCTCTCTCTCTCTCCCTCGCTCCCACCTTCCGTTACCGCCTCCGTATGCAACTGCGTTGGCCGCAGTGCAGTGCGCGCTTTATTCTCCATTTCGCTCTTGACTACGTCGAGCAAGAGAAGGAGTTCGACCAATCAAGAAAATGCACTTCGTCAGTGATGACGTCGTAGCTGTCGTAGCTTGAGAGTATATTCATTCGCGCAGTCGCTCCTCGACGTTACGACGACAAGTTTCAAGTTTTTTATACACTTCTCTTCATATTCTTGTGTTCCATATATCATACTTGCATATAAAAATCGTTCGTCTCGTTGTCGCGTTTTCGTGTGCATCGATTGATAATGAATTTATTATCAAGAAACTGAAAGTCAGAGTAATACAGACGCGCCATTCATTGTATATACGCGATAACGATCTGTTAGAACAATGGACAAGTTGGAGCGTTTTTATTACCGAGCGGTGCTCCAAGTATAATGTAATACGCCATTAAGAATGTATAATCGTCTAAATGAAAAGTTATTTGTGCCACGTAAAGATAGTGTTGCAGTTACATTATGTATGAGTGCATCGCGTGACATTTCTATCACCTAATTATCCTTGTCTTCGACGAACAGTACTTTGACTGCGTGCAGGCACCCAACGACGATGATTCATTCACGCTCGATGACAAAGTGCAAAATGAAAAATTCCCATTACGATCTGCATTACGATGAAGTTTGCGAATCTCTGTAATCGTTTGCGTGGAAAATGAAGTTCGAAACTGGCGCATCTGGCCGATGGCGATCTGGCCGATCGCGCATATCGCCGATGGCGCATATCGGCAATCGCGCGAGATTGGATTCACTTTCGGTGAACCCTGAGTTTTTCGGGTAAGTTGCAAAGATCTCTGGATAACTTTGCAACATTTCTGTGAAAGCTCATATAGCTAGCTAACGACGATGATTTTTTTCCGGCCGGACCAGAAAGAGCTTCTGCAGTACTCGAGTACTGATCGGCTTCGGTAGACACTACTGGGTAACTACAATGGGTGATTTTCAGCGTGGGTCTGTGTGCGCAGGCCGCCGATGTACGTTCCCCACAGGATAAGCTCTAGGGTGTCGTTGTGTGTTGGTCTCTTTGTTTCTTGAATAATTGTTACTGTCATCGCGCTGACGCCAGCTTAAGGCGCGTCGCTTCATGTATCTATATACCTGCATGGAACTACAAATATTATCGATCGCCCCGAAATTTTCGACAAAGACAAAGGTCTCGCGCTGCATCTGTTGGGTCGTCGTAACTCGGGACATTAACTACAGGGATTTCGTAAAAATACATTCAATAGCGAGGGAGCACAGCTGATTCGTCGCACCCATGCACACCACGTGTTTTTCCAATTCGGGCCTGCATCGCGCAGCTTGTTTACTTTCCAAATAATTGAATATTGATATCCCTCTCCCTCTTGGGCGTATCTCTCACGCACGGAGATTAAAAACGCAGCAGTTGGCTAGGCAATAAGATAATGTCAACCTCGTACTGTATATTTTCTAATGCTCGTATATCACATTTTACTGACGGAGCATCTGCATCTACGTTCCTTCGTGCTCTCGGGGAAAACGAAAAAATAAGGAAACTTTCTAAGAATAGTTAATTAGTATTCGCCGCCTCGTCACTTCGCCGTAATGAATACATCGAAAGAAAGTGCACTAACTCAGGTTTATTTAATTACGCAACCTAATGAATGTAACAAATGTAAAAAGTCTACCTATACATTTTATCTACATCGATGTATAAATCTGTATCTATAACGACGACTAGACTGCGTTGTTATCTCCCTCGAGTCTCGTTTCCCATACTCTATACAGCTCAGATATACACACATGCGATATCGCGATCTGACCCCGAGCAACACTCGATGCATCGCGCCTCGCCTTGCAGCAGGGCCCAAATATACCATTCACAGTATTTCTATTTATTACATATTGTAATGGAACATCCAACCGACAGATGTGTATCGCGCACTCATCGTTCAATGACATCGATGCAGGACGCTCAATGCATAGGGTAAGATTACTTACTTCCAAGATGTAGCATCCCACTTCATGTATTCAATGGCATTTCTAAAAATACGGAGCATTAGAATATACATCATGCATTGCATGCGAGTGTAAACCGGAGTGCGATGACTCCATCGGAAACGTACGTTTGTATTATGTGACTCGTAGCTGCAGTCACCCACTCACACACGAGTCAACCAAGTATACATGTATCAATTACGAGAGTAGGCCCATATCCGCATGCATTTTCCACGATTGGTATTAAATGACATTTTAATGCTGCTACTAGCTGTACTTTTTTCTTGTGCCTCTGTTATTTTTTTTCGGTAACAACGCCATTTGTGGTGCACGCGTGTTGGTGCATCATTAAAAAATCGTTTAAACTTTCAATATTATAATTATAATGACATTTGATGCTTTGATGCATGCATGCGTGTATACGCCTCGTGCAATGCCTGAGAACAGGATATGGAGCTGTTACGCAGTTAACTTTCACTTTCCAAAGCTGCACACGCGTGTGTACTCTTTGATATTTTTCTTGGCATATAATAGGTGTATAATGGATCTAACGTTTGTATCTTTCAATGCATCTCTGCGTGTCTTCATGCGACGATGAATTATCGGTACCGTCTCGCATTAAAGCTATCTATGATCTTTGAATAAATATAAATATGTGTGAGTGAAATATTATTTCAGAATAATTCTTTTTTCCAATTTCAATTATGTATTCTTCGGAATGTATATAGAAAAAACGCCCGACTACTATGTATGGGAAGCTTTTCTAAAACAATCACGTCCCCGCGAGTCATTGACTCCGTGTGCGTCAAAGGTGCGTGTTCGAGTTCCGCGCGGATCAATTTATGTTTTAGAAGCGGTGACGAGGGAACAGAGAACCACCTCTACGATAAGTACCCTCACGCACTTATGGATATAATATACTAGCATTGGAACAGAAACCGTTGCTGCGGCTGCTGCTTATGCCTTCGCAGCTGTTTCGTAATGCGCCTAGATGTATTAATGATTATCGTCTCCGCGTGTCTGTATGTTATACAAACACAAAGAGCCGAGAAAGTCATCGTATAATAATTCGACAGTGCGTGCGCGTACGCCCGGCATGCACGCATGAATATTACACGCGTTTTTATAAACGCGCACGTAGCGTGCTGCAGTGTTGCAACCAACCAGCATGTGCGTTATAATTATTTCTTTTTTCCAAATAAGGACAAGAATTAGAAAGTTTTCGATCCCACGGGTGTTGCAGTGCAGGTGTAGCTATGCTGCACGAGATGCTGCACGAGTATACTGGACGAGTATACTTGAAAGACGGGACATTTTATTTTTCCCACTCTAACCTAAAATATGCAACTTAAGCCGCTAATTTTATGCACTCGTAAGAAAAAATAGTATCTTCAACTGGTGCAGATATGGTTTTTTAACAAAACTCGTTACACACTCGCCTTCGGCTCTAATCGCTCGTTTCGCTAAAAAACCATATGTGCAGCCATTGAGAAACATACTATTTATATTAATTCAATTCCTCCGTCTCGACACACACGACGATGATTACGCGGGGTCTCCATCGCTCGTGTTATAGAATATTTCAGAGTCGCGAGCGCGCGAACTCTTGTACGTATCCTTGTGTGCTCGACGACCGGATAAAAAGTCGTAATACATCATAATATAATAAACAAGCGGAACAAACGACTTCTAAAGTAGCCATTAGCGAGCTTTTATGCGCGCATACAAGAACGAGAGAGAAAGATCAAACCACGCGCGCCCGGCACATGCAACGATCCAAGAGCAGCGGAAAGAGAGCGTAAAAAGAAGGCGAAAGGGTGAAAAAAAAAGAAGTAGAAGAAGAAGAAGAAGAAGAAGAAGAAGAAGAAAAAGAAAAAGAAGAAGTGAATGTATATGGGCGAAGGCCACGCGCGATCGTTATGTACAAAAGTGAATTGGATACAAAGAAGCGAGGAAAGGCTGCAGCAACAGGAGCCAAGAGTCCAGAGAGGGCAGGAGTCTTGATGTAAGAGCGCAGCAGCAGCAGCACACGCGAAGGAGCAGCGAGAAAAAAAGGACGACGCAAATACACGTGTATTACACGAAGTATATATTATAATATATCTAAGAGAAACGCACCTGCGGAACTGTGCGAACAAAGCCAAGCTCTCGACGTTATAACTTTCGCGCTCGAGTCTTTTTCTCTCTCGCGCTCCATATTACGCGCAGAGACAAAGGCTGGAAATAGGCTCGCGCGTTTCCAGCCGTGTATGCTTGGAATCGGCATGGCTGCAATCTAGCCGAATTTTAGAGACAAGAGCGCCGGCGGCCATTGACACTACCGAGAGCATCTTTCTTCGTTTCTCTCTATCTTTTTTCTTCTGTGTTCTTTCATTCTGCACGCTTCGAGGAGTGCGTAAACGAATCTTCAAAAAAGCTCTCCTCCCTGTGATCTAATTCGCATTG